TATTTTGGAAAAGAAATAGAAAATACTTAATCCCAGCACTTTGGGAGGCCTAAGCAGGTGGATCACTTGACGTCAGGAGTTCGAGACCAGCCTGGCTAACATGATGAAACCCATCTCTACAAAAATTAACTGGGTGTGGTTGTGAATTCCTGTAACCCCAGCTACTTAGGAGGTAATTGCATTCCAGCCTGGACGACAAGAGTGAAACTCCATCTCACACACACATAAACAAAACCAACATGATTAAAAAACACAATACCAAAGCTTTATGGGAAACTGTGAATTATTTTCCTTCTCCTAGGGAGAAAATGCCTTAAAACACCTTTTTTTTTTTTAATTTATTTTCTGAAGATGGGGCCTGGCTCTCTCACCCAGGCTAGAGTGCCATGGCACAATCTTGGCTCTCTGCAACCTCCACCTCCTGGGTTCAAGTGATTCTTCCGCCTCAGCCTCCTGAGTAGCTAGGATTATAGGCGCCTGCCACCACGCCCAGCTAATTTTTGTATTTTTAGTAGAGATGGGGTTTCACCATGTTGGCCAGGCTTGTCTTGAACTTCTGACCTCTTGATCTGCTTGCCTTGGCCTCCCAAAGTGCTGGGATTATAGGTGTGAACCACTTCGCCCTGCCAAAACAAATTTAAACTCCTTAACAAATTCACCATATAAACCTACAGTGTACAAAATGGTGCCTTTATGAAGGAATGAATTAATCTGTAGGTACCACTGGGGTCCAGAACTTTGAACTTTGCTATAAATTATAGCATCTGCTGCCATTCTGTATCACCCACACATGATGGAAATATTTTCTACTGAACTGATAAACTGGCACTAAGCTAACTGCCTAAAGTATCTTTTTAAGGTCTTTAACCTATTATTTCTTAATATGTAGAACACATATCATATAATTTTGTATAAATTATGTCATTTATGTAAATATATATTATATACATAATGAAATAATTATATATTACATTATTTTATTACATATTATATAATACTTATTTCATACATAATTTAAAACAAAATTTGCCACATCTTAGCTTGTAAAAAGTTGAACTTGGAAAGAAAAGTTTAAAATATTGGCTATTTGTAATTTACTGTATTAAAAGGTCTAAGTTAAAAACTAAGGTGTATACTAAGAGACATATAGGCAAAGCAATACCTGTGTTTAAAAGTGGCACATCAGGCCAGGCGTGGTGGCTCACACCTGTAATCCCAGCACTTTGTGAGGCTTAGCGGGCACATCCCTTGAGGCCAGGAGTTTGAGACAAGACTGACTAACATGGAGAAACACTGTCTGTACTAAAAATACAAAAACAAACAAACAAAACACGAGCTGGGCATGGGAGCACATGCTTGTAATTCCACTCAGGAGGCTGAGGCGCAAGAATCACTTGAACCCGAGAGGTGGAGGTTGCAGTGAGTTTAGATCACCACACTGCACTCTGTCTGGGCGGCAGGGCAAGGCTCTGTCTCGGAAAAATAATGGTGAATGAATGAATGAATAAATAAGCAAATAAATGTGACACATCAATTGCTAGATGACAAATCCTCCTCCCATATCTAGGCCAGGGAAGAGGGCGCATTTGTGCATCATCAAAAATAACAGGCCAGGCTAACATCGCTAACTTAGAAGGGAAGAAACAGAAAAGAGAAGCAGTCCCAGGCTGAAGCAAAAACCAGAGAGAGTGCTTGCTTTATTATGGCATGTTTTTATTATGGCATGGTGCCTTTATGAAGAAATGAATAATCTGTAGGTACCACATTTACCCATTACTGGGATGTGTAGAATAAAACACAACAAATAATATTGGCTGGGTACAATGGCTCATCTGTAATCTCAACACTGAGAAGCAGAGGCAGGCAGATGACCTGAGGTCAGGAGTTCAAGACCCACCTGGCCAACGTGGTAAAACCCCCGACTCTACTAAAAAATACAAAAATTAGCCAGATGTACTGGCAGTCACCCGTAACCCCAGCTACTGGGAAGCTGAGGCATCAGAACTGCTTGAACCTAGGATGCAGAAGTTTTGGTGAGCCGAGATCACATCACTCCACTCCAGCCTGGGCAATAGAGCAAGGCCTTGTCTCAAAAAAAAAAACCAGATGACAAAATGTATTTACCCTGGAAATTGTTGGGGCTCATTTAGTAATGGAGAAACTGTCCCCTACTCCACAAGAGGTATGATGTGCTTTCCTCTTAAGAATAATGGCCATTGCTATCATCCCAGGCAGGAAAAGAAAGCAGCATAGCCCATTTGATGCCCTAGTATTTCTGTTGCCTCACTGAATTTGCAGCAACTGGTGGTGAGAGAACATCCATCCCCCGCAAATGACCCGGCCAAATCTTTCCACCCACTGCTTGAACACCATCTTCTATATGAGATTCAGTCCCAGATACCTACGGTGGGGTCATGCCTTCACCTGTGGCCCACGGTCCCTTACATGAAGCCTCTCCATTGCTGGAACATGCCTTTTACTCCACAGCTGTTCCAGAGTGTTCTATCATTTGGTGGGCAAGTATTCATTCATGCTTCCGGACTCCATGGCCTGTCAGCTTGTCAGGGACACCTTTCCCGGCTGCCCTGAGGCAACTGACAACCCCTTTAGATTGGAACCTTAGCTCACCTGTATGATGACACATACAAGGCAGTGCAGCCTATCCGCACACATGGAGTCTTCCTGACAACCTGGCTTACCCATGGCCCGCCGCTAACAGTGCCCAGCACAGAAAGTGCTCTGTGTTTCTACTACAAATTATTGAAAAGAGACAGGCTGCATACAGCTTCTAAATCTGTATAATATTGAAACAAAATTTTGAAAATAATAATTTAAAATATTCGCAACTCATTTCCTTACCATAGATGTTTCTGGCATGTAAGACAGCCTGAGGTTGAATTATGGCATCAACTAATATAGGATGATATTAAGCATTTTAATTATTTTAAAGCTCTATTATTTAAATTCTCTAAATGCATTCCTCACCCTTGGAGTGTTTCTTTTGAGTTTCTTTCTTTCTTTTTTTTGAGACAGGGTCTCAGTCTGTCACCCACTGAAGTGTAGTGGCACATTCTCAGCTTACTGCAACCTCTGCCTCCCAGGCTAGAGTGATTCTCCTGCCTCAGCCTCCTGAGCAGACGGGATTACAGGTGTGCACCACCATGCCCAGCTAATTTTTTTATTTTTAGTAGAGACAGGGCTTCACCATGTTGGCCGGGCCGGTCTTGAACTCCTGACCTCAAATTATCCACCTGCCTCAGCCTCCCAAATTGCTGGGATTCCAAGCGTGAGCCACCAAGCTCTGCCTCTTTGGAGTTTCTATGCAATCATTTCATGGATGGTAAATTTTGTTGAGTGGAAATTCTGCCAGATTTCTTATTCCAACATTGATTCGGGGCATGTGGGTGTGTGTGTGTGAGAAGGAGGGAGTTGTGAAGACAGGATGTAGACAAAAGATGCATTCAAACAGCAGGGTCTTGGGAAACAGGAAGGCTAGGTGCGTGCTTCTTTCCGATGGACATTTCCATCATCCACTCTGCTTTCCATCATGCCCTTGTCTCCAGCCACCTCCACCTCATGCACCCACACAATCGTTATAGACAGCAGGTTTCTCATCCTCTGTCCCTTTTTGTTTTCGAGTGAGTCGGCATGAATGCAAGGGTGTGCACTGATTCAAAGGGCAGTGGAGCGGTGATAGTCTAATTTGTGTCTAAAGTCTCTTAGTCCGTATTTTGTAACACAATGCTCTAAATTGTAGTGTCAAGAGTAACCACAATTTTTCCCTATTATGCTTTATATTGCTGACGATATGCCTTACTGGTGTAACTGTTCAGGAATCTCACCCAGGACTGCGCTTGTGGAACATCAGATTGAAACAAGCAATCAATCAAAGCTTCAAACACTGCTTAGCATTCTCACTGCCTAAAGCTTCCTTTAAATAATGGCTGAATTTTCCTTCTTTTATGATTCATTCTTCACATTTCTGCAAATTTTCCCATCCTTATCATTTGTGACACAGTTTTTGATTGGAAAAATATTACTTCAAGTTTTGGGAGCGTTTGCTGTGGAGGAATCACAGTCTATTCTGTGAAGGATTCCATTATGTAAACGTGAACTATTCTATTATTAATCACCCAAAAGTCATTTTTAGAAAATAGAATGTGAAGCATTTTATTTTATATAATTCAAAATCTAGTCATTAATTACTTTCAACAACCAGCACATTCAATTCACGTTTCTAGGGAAAAACCTCCTTCCTGCCTTTTCTGCTCTGTGGTTGTTCATTAAAATGTGCCAATTACCTCTATTAGGTAGATAAGAAGGTAGAAAATCCCCAGGTACCACTAGTTAGCAACCTGTTCCTGGGGAGTCAATAGCCTAATTTTTCGTTCCCTCTTTTCATTTAAAAAATACTCACCTAGTGAAAGAAAAAGACTTCTCACTACTGGCAAAGATATATCATAGAACCTCATTAAACCAAGTAATAGGGTTAGCATTTCAACGATTTAAGAAGGTATGTAAGGTTTTACAAAAAGAAAATCTAATTAAGATGGTGCTCAAAGAATTCAAGACACTAATAAATAACCAAATTAATTGTGATGATAGGTTTGTCGGAGGGCTGTGCAAATGTTAGTCATTATGATTGCAGGTGCCAGGACACAACATTTTGGCGAGCTTTTGGGGTTGTAAGTATGCAGGGCTCTGCTTATGTAATATGTACCGGAGTAAAACTATTTTTATTCCACTCCTTTTTATCTTTCTACAAGTTCTCTGTTTCAGAAATTAGATAACAAGTCATAAGCCCTAGACCATGCATTCCTGGTGACTGGCTACCTCATCACAGCAAAAAGTCATGCTTCAGTTTGCCAACCAGCCCGAGGCATGAGAGCATCACCTCCGAGCTCTCCACGCTGCAGAACTAACAGGCACTTTGGAATCTGCCCGCAGCATCCTAATCGCTTACCCGTTCGTAACAGGTCTGAAAAATTACACACAGAGTGAAAGCTTTCATAAAAATATATTTAAAACAAGCAAGAAAAAAATAGTTTTGGCCTTAAGGATAACTTCCATTATTCTTTTAACCAAGTATAGTTAAATTATATGTATAATGATTTCAAGTACCAACTTATAAAAGATGTGACAAATCAGACAATGAAGAGCAAGAGGACTCTTTTTCTCAGAAAAATGTATTTGCAATTCAAATGTTCATATAAAAAGCATAAATTTTAAAAAGTTCATAGATGTGTGTTTTCAGAAGTGCTATGGTCTCGCCATTCATTGCAATTACATTCCAAAATGTGCAAGGCGGTCCACACTGCATCCTCTTATGCTTTTGTCACACTGAAGTCACTCTCATCACAACCTCCCCCGAGCTGTTATCTTCTGATAAGTCTTCATGGGGCCTCATCCGGTTGAATAGGTGCAATAACACGTAGCCACACTGAAACCTTGGCGAGGTTAACTGAGTCGGGTGAACCAAGTTTCTGTTCCGCAGAGCCGTCAATGGCAACCACAAAGTCCTACTTGTGGAAGACTCTCCCCGGCTGCTTTCTTCGATGTCTGTGGCTTTGTCATAATTCAACACATCCCAGTGCAAATTCACAGCTCGCCAGCGCTTGAACACTCTGTAAACTGCAGCTCCTTCATGAACAATGAGACCTAAAATATGGGGAAATCAAAGACCAAAAAGACTGGTGATGATCGAAGGTTGGAGTGTTATTTTGTATACAAGTAAGGGATCCAAAAATAGTTATGTTATTCATCATCAGCAAAGCGTATGGTATTCTGTCTACTCAAATAGTATGACTAATGGCAAGTTTGCTGCCCATATGACACAGAAACAATCCATTTTTAAAGAATAAGAATACGCTAATATGTAGACAGTCAAGCTATTGTGGATATAAGTTCCTTGCTCCATTGTGGTTCAAATTTTGCCTTGGGCATTTATATTGCCTTAGAAGAATCATTATTCTTAGAAGAATCATTAGATTAACTTATGGATTTAACACACATGCTTAAGTGCCTATTGTGTGGCCAATAGGGGCTTGAACCCAGCTGGCAATTTAATTTAAGAAAGAGACAGAAGTTAAGGCCATTACAGATACTAAGGTTACTGTTTCCCCCGTTCCTAAAACAGTGCCTGATGCAGAGCAAAAACCATATAAACTTTATTTGTACTCTCCTCAACAATTCAACAAAAATGAATTGAATGGTTACTTTAGAGGTTTATAAAATAAGTCCTAGCACTTCCCCAGTTTTACAAAAAAGGATATCAAGCCTTGAGGATGTTCAGAAACTTGCTCAAAAACATACAACTAGTCACAGTGAAGAGCAGGGATTCAAACCCAGGCAGGCTGGCTCCAGGGTCCTCGCTCTTTGCTGCTATAAAGTGAATTGGCTCTTTCCATGTTTCTGAGAGAGACTCTTAGGAAAATAATAGAGCGAACTTGGAAACCATACGTCAGACAGGATGCACTAGCTCATGCGCTGTCTCCACTATCCATCCCAGATCTATCACACACCCTGCATTTCACATATCTACATTTCAGAGTGTAGTCCAAAGGCTTTTGGATTTGTGATCCCTCACAAAAAGTAGTCCCTGGGGAAGGTCTCCTAGACAGAAAAATGAGAAAGAGCTCTGCTCTTTGAGGAGGCTGAAAGTCCACTGAAGTTAGTGGAGAGATCAATGAAGAGCCTTTGGTAGATGAAGTACAGCATGTGAGCAGAGCGTGTCAGCTGGCACGGCCACATTTTAATAATACATTTTAAAATGAGCAGATTCCACCTTTTAGCATTTAGACCTTTGGGTATATGCCCTAGAGAAACTCTCACAAATATGAACAAGAAAGCAAGTTTAAAGATGTTTACTACCTAATTGCTTGTATTTGAGGAAAGAAAATTGCAAGGGATTTCAATGTCGATCCTTTGAAGAATGGATAAATTATATGTAAAACCAATGGATAAGAGTAATGAGATAAAAGGAAATATAGTCACACTCATTAACATGGATACCTCTCAAATCATAACGACAATCCCAAAGTCACAACAAAGAAAATGAAAGTTGCAGAAAGAAATGACTGGAATGAATAAATACTACATATACATTTCAATGAAGGCCCATAAGTGTGGTAGACTTATAAAAGCATGAATGAGAATAATAACCACTAAATTCATGGTAGGAAGGAAGGAAGGAAAGAACTAAAATTGGGAAGTGGTTTCAAAGAGGGTTTCAACATTTGGCGGTCCCAGATGTTGCATTTTTAAAACTGGGTGGTTGGGATATTAATGTTCAGCATATTACTCTGTGTATTTTTGGTGCCTGAAAATTTGAAATTTCAAAAATAACAGAAAATTTACTGGAAAAGTTAATCTAAAGTGGATTTGGGGAGTTGGATGCAATAAGGAGGTCACTGCATTATGCGTAAAGAGGAGAGTGATCGCAGTAAGGATAAGACAGAGAAATAAAGTAGCAAATTCTTAGGGAAATTGACAGAAGCTGTAATGGAAAAATGGGGAAAAATCGAAGTCCCATGTCTTTAAGGCTGGAGGAATGGGTGACTGAAAGATTGGTAGTAACTTTCCAATAGGTGCAATGAGGTAAGTGTTTTTAGCATGTTTTTCTTGGAGAGATGATTACATGTTTTTGTCAGATAAAACAATGCCAGGTAGGTGATACAGATACCCAGTCCTTGGGAGTGTTGAACAATGAGAACACAGGGACACAGGGAGGGGAACATCACACACTGGGGCCTTAATTTAAATCAATTAATTAAATTTAAATTAAATAAATTAATTTAAAAAAAGAGATACCCAGTCCTTGAAAAGTGACACCTACCCAATGTCAAAACTTAAGTTTTGCACTGCTCCCTTAGCAGGAGGTAAATTTCTGATACATTTCACTTACAAGCATTCCAAGGATATTAATATGGGCTACAAAAAATGCATGTGATCTAACAAGCAAACATATCTTAAGCCCAGTTATTATAGCGACCAAAGTACAAGGAGAAACGTAAACTTCTGTTCATCATAACAATTTCAAATAATTGATCAAATCCCTTTTCCAAATGAATAATCACAGTTGACCTAACTGACCAGATATTTTCAACAAAAGGCCAGAATGCAAAGTCAACGCTACCAGATTGTAATTGGTGGTTCTATTATTAGCTTTGTGAATTACCCATTGTCAATAATTTAACATTTTGGGTTCTATTTTTCCACCCTAAAATGAAATTGGAATACCTAATCTTTACATTCAGCCAGGGAGTATAAAGATAAATTGGAATTCATCAACCATAAAGCCCTCCCATTTTTCTAGGATGGTAAGTATAGAAATACAAGACATTGTTACTAATTAAAAATCAATAGTGAATCTGTGTGGTGGGGAACACACATTCACACTAATCCCAAAATAATTACAGCCTGAGACAGGTTCATCCTGGGTAAGTGCGATGATGAGGGCGTGGGAACACAGCTTCACCAGGGAAACCACTGACTTTGCAGGATCCTATTTTTTTATTGATTTGCTTTGTAAGGGCAGAAATCAGATCACTTACTAGAGCTTAAAGTCACTTTCTGGGAATATATTCCTGGTAGCTCTTTTCTAAATACATAAATCTAACCAATATTCAGAAATAAACCCTACAGATGTTTAGAGTACATTTTGAACCAAATTTAAAGAGAGAGAGCTACTTGATGTTTTCATGAAGACACAGTCCTTTTGAATTTCCAGCTCTGTGGGCTGCTTTTTAATTGCTGTAGGTTACGAATGATGTTTAGATTTTGTGTTATTTCTCATGAGATTCAGAATTACTCCTGGCCCTCTGCAAGCTCAGATTTTACTGAAATGCAACGAATTCCATTCCCACCCTCAAGGCTGTTCTCTGAAATGTGCATTATCCTCCCTTTACTTTAAATGCTCTGGAGTGAATGGCAAATGCCTTTTGTGCTAGTGGTTATGAGAAGGTGTGACTACTATGATCACAAAGCCAGGGTAAGAATTCATTCAACTCTGGCTCATTCTGTTGAAAATCCAACTTTTAAAAAACTCTGTTGTATGCTTTCTTACTGAGGATCACATGAATTGTCACCTTGACATTTCAGGTCATAGGAGAACAGACTGACTGACTTTTTCATCTGAGTCACTAAGCCTAAATGAATCGAAAAGCAATGATCACGGCCATAAAATGTAAACACAAATAGTTTAGGATACTTCCTACATTTATTACAGCATGGATATCCAAAGCATGTGATTCATGGGAATTTAAGGTTTGAAGAGTTGAGGAGTACGTGCATGTGTGTGTGTGGCTGGCTGCTTGGCTTCTGCCGGTTTCTTACTAGTAACGTTTAACTGGAGCATCTCCTTACTGAAGTGCAAAGAAACATGTTTGTTAGAGAATAACCTTGAAAAAGCAGGCTTAAATAATTTCTGGTTTTACTGAAATAAACAGATTTTAATATAAGAAAAACGAACTCAAAAATCTGAAGTGGTGTGTTAGTTGAAATTATTTCTGGTATTAGAATATAGGCTATTTAGCCAAAGAAGTGATGGCGAAGGCTCTCAGGTACATATGGTCACATGCTCACATAGACATACACCATTTGTCTATGTTTACTTTAACATGTGAAGTGACATAATAGAGACTTAACAAAATTTATGATCAAACACAAACGACTTCTATCTGACATTAATTACCAAACCACTAGTCAAAAAATTTCATATCCTGTTACCAGTCTCAGCTTTTGCTAGATAAGTTTGGTTGCTTTCATAATTCATAAGATAAATTCATATTGAGAACCTATTCTGTGCCAAACAGTGTGCTAAGAGCTTTACATGCACAATTTTCATTTAATTTTTAGTGCAACTGTACAAATCGATACTAGTTTTGAACAATGTTACAGTTGAGAGAATTCATACCTAGAGAGCTGTCCAGCATCACGAAGACAGAAGAATCAGAGGTGAGATTGGAACACAGTTTTGTCTAAAATGTAAACCTTGAGTACTGCAGTCCCATCTATCCTAAATCTCCAAAATATAGAAGTCTCTTCTAATCAGAGAATAACCAAATAAAAGCGGTTATTATGGACTAAACATTTGTGTCCCCAGTGAATTCATATGTTGAAGCCCCAATTCCAGTGTGATGGTATTTGGAAGTGAGGCCTTTGGGAAGTAATCAGGGTTAGATGAGATCATGAGAGTGGGGCCTTCATGATGGGATTAATGCCCTTATAAAAAGAAGAGACATCAGACCTGTGTGTGTATGTGTATGTACATACACCAAGGAAAGGCCAGGTGAGGGCATAACAGGGAGATGGTGGTCTGCAAATCAGAAAGAGAGCATTCAGCAGACACCAGATATGCTGCTGGTCAAATACCTGCTGCGAGTTGTGAGTTATTTAGCTTTCCCTAGGGTCATTTTGACCGAACAGCACACATAGTTTTGCTCTGCGCTCCTTTGTGGTTTCGATCAGGGGCTTGCATTTCCTGGGAGAGCTGAGGGTGAATGTGGCTTCCCAGGCAAAACTCTCATCACCCACAGTGTTGCCTTCAAATAAGCCTCGCTAACGCTTTCTCCCTGTGGGTGGGAAGGGAGGGGAGGGAGTGGCTGCTTCACCTGCACTGGTAGAGGTATAATAATGTCAGTGACACACAGGGATGGTAA